TATTCAACCAGTTTCTAAAAAAAATCTAGAATATTTCACCCAGACACAGTACGGTTCTAGAACATTCTCAGTGACATGGAAGTGGTAAATAAGTTGTATGCGACAATAGTTTATACCTGTCATAAAGCCATTTCTCAAACCAGCACATGAATTTGAAACACAGTTCACATTTGTGGGGATCTGCTAGCTTATTTTGCAATTTATCAACATCAATGGGTGTACTTGCTGTTTTTGGTAGTTACTGTGAAGTAGTTTTAGACACTTTAGCATTGTTTTGAGACTTAGGACAGCTGTAGACGAGATGATTGGCTTTGCATACAGCACAGATGTGTGAAAACGGAAAGGGATTCATAGAACATCCTCTACCCTCGGTATTTAAAGCGTTACATAACACCTTGCCATTGCAAAAATGTAACAAATATCACACCCTAAATAAATTTATGTACTAACAAATTACACTGCAACTCCACCAGAAAAAATCTAAAAGGAAGAAATTGGTGACAATAATGAAATAAACAACAGAATAACACTATCTGAAATTAGGTAAGTAGCAAAAACAATAAAGAATAAATCCAGTGATCCTGAAGGAATTCCAAGTGAATTCCTTAAGCATGTAAACAGAACGATAAACATACAATCACATACTGGAAAACGATGTATATTCACAGAATGGGAGCACAAGTATAATAACACTGATAGATAAAACAGGTGACTACATACAACTACAGAGATATCAGTAAGCAATGTTATAGCAAAAATACTTGGTACGATCATCAACAACAGAATCACTATCTGGAGAACAGCTCTACAATATAAACTACTCAACAGCAATGGTGAAGTGTATAATATTGTAAAATCAATGTATACCAACATGGAATTTATGGTAAACTTAAATGATGTCACCTCACCACATGTCAAATTAGATAACGAAGTGAAACAAGGCTGCTCTCTAAGCCCAACTTTATTCAACATCTACATGAATGACTTCATAAATTATCTAAATGAGCTACAAATGTCAGCACCAGAACTTAGTGGGAAACAAATCAACTGTCTTCAATATGCTAGTGACATTGTTATACTGCCAACAACAAGTACTGGACTGCATAAAGCACTAAATTTACCAGCTACACAACTAAGTGGGGTATGCAAGTAAACAGCAAAAAGACAGACGGTCATCTTCAGGGAAGAATCGCTACAAATCAAATATCAGGAAGAAATAAAAATCACAGAACATTATACTTAGGTACAAACAAACAACATCAAGCAGACTGGCAAACAAGGCACAACGAGTGCAATCACAAACATACTCTAATAATACAAACAATATACTAGTAAACATCAAACTGAAGCTCTTGAACACAACGCAGATTCCAATATTACAATATTTCACTCGGCAAGTATATTCATGTAACCCAAGGGAAAATTCTAATTATTACACATATACCGGTACTGCAGTCCCTGAAATCATTCGTCCCGGCTCAAATTGTTCAGCAATATTTTTGGCATATTAGGTGTACATCATGGAATACTATGATTGAGATAACTTGATTAATATTGACAACCTGGAAACCGAGTTTTATAAACCTTGAAGGGCTCTCGGAAGATCCACCCGCAGTAAAATCAGCGATTGCTATGGAGCTGCAACCATCAACATAGAGGTACCAGGAGGTTTCTGCTGGCAACATTACGGCATTACACAGTTTTAAATAAAGATTACCAACGCCAAATGAGCAACATTTTAATCAAGACTCAATCCGAGTCCACGACCAGTAAGCGATATCACAAACTAAGTTGTAGCATACAGCTCAGCGACAACCGCTGTCGACAAAGGTCATCCCGTCAGTGGAGTACCGC